AGCGGGGATCTCCCTGCCAGCCAGGAACCAATGAGTGGGGTTTTGGTTTTTTTTTTCTTAAAGGGCTGGGAGCAAGGGGGGAGGGGCTTGTGTAGGGCCCCCACGGAGCATGGGGCAGAGGGGAGCAGCAGAGATCCCATCACCCACCCACCCCAGCAGGCAGCACCTAGTGAGTCAGGCCTTTTTTCTTTTTTTCAAAGTGCCAGGAGGCTGGAGCGGGCAGGGCAGCCATTGCCAGGCCTGCAGGGGTAGGTGGGGGATGGGTCTGTGTGACTGAGATTTGGCAGCAGCCGAATCTCTGAATCAGATTCAGCTGAATCAATTCGGGACAGCAATTTGAATCACCACCCCCCAAATTGGCTAAATCCAAATCCAGAGTGAATACTAGCTGCTTTACACAGGCCTAGTGTAGAGCCTTTGCTTGTGGCTTGAGGGGAGCCAGTTGGTCACATAATTATGGCCTGTTCTTTACTTCTAGTTGCTAAATTGTATTAAAAGAAGCCAAAATGCATTATTTACAACTAGGAAGTTTTCCACTTAAGCCGTTACTGTAGTTGCTACATGGATGTCACTTGAAGAAGACAGATGGTTTATGTGATTGTGAACAATAGGGGAGATAGCACTCGTGGCTTCATTAGGTTATCGACCACACTACAAAAATTTACCAATTGCCAGGGTGCAGTAGAAAGAATCCTCAAGTATTTGGCAGAGGCAGATGCAAACTGCCCAGGCAAGAACTTCAGCGTATGTTTGCTTTTAATGTCTCACTTCTCTGCTTCGACCTGAGGAAGGACACTTTATACTCAAAAGCTTGTCCAACAGTTCTCCCAACTATACAGTTGGTTCAATAAAAGATCACAAAAAGTTCTTGCTTTTGTTTTTATCCCCAAGATTAAGCACAGTTTTCTCCTTGGTTTTTGTGAATGAGTCTTCTGTCACTGGAAGAATTATCACTCTTAAAACTCCTGTGTTAGATAGAGAAATAGAATTTGCTTGTGGATATCAGTTGTTTCTTCTTTTTCACATCTGATTATGTAGTCATTCTTGTTTTGATGTGCACTGTGGTCTGCAGGGGGCTGACAAATCACATAATTCTGTTTCTTTTCCTTATTTCTGGTTTTGAAATCTAGAAAAAGAAACTAAAAGTGTCTTTCCCCCTAAAACCTATTTCTGTGCATCAGTTTTCAGTGCTGTTATATTAATTGCTTCTGTACTTGGTAAAGGGATGCCTCGGATGTACACACATTACACTGCTCAGGAAAGGGAGAGTCAGAGTTCAAAGTTGTGTAGAAAATGGTAAAGGAGAACACACAAGACTTTAAAAGTTAAGTTTGATAAACTAAAAAACCATGACTAATCTAGAGAGATCCTCAGAGTTGCACTTGCCCAAATGCACTGTTTTAAAATACTACCAAATACAAAACTGAAACTTCTAGACAATATGTCCCAGACTGAATGAGACTTCAGTGGATTACTTACATATAGGCACATTCCTGAATTTGAATCTGAACTCATCTGTCATTGTTTTTCCAACGATTTCTCACAGATATTAGAAGTGAGGCTTGGGGGTTTTAAAGTCACTGTTTTATAAAATAGTTCTAAAGTACAGTAAATGTCAAAGAGAAGGTGAAATAGTACACTGTGTAAGCTTTTACAATGTTTATTTTGCAGTGTTTTCTAAAGCTCAAACGTAGATATTTAACATTTAAAGCTGCCAATGAAATGTGTGAAACTCTTGGAGGCACTCTTCCATCAATCACAAGCCAAGCTGACCAAGGTATGCTCTTAAATTCGAGGCCTATTGCAGTATGCAGTCTTCTAGATCAAAATAATAGGGCAAATTCTTCTGCCGGTTTATATATAAAGACTACATCAAATTATGCAGCAGACTAGAAACTGTGTACCAGTGTTAACTAATGATAACATCATTCAGTTATCTCAAGTTCGTTTAAATAACTCTAAATTTCAGGGCAAAATGAAAACCTGTAAATAATGCCTCTTGCTTGCACTGTGCCAGAAGAATACCACCTGTTGAAAGATCAGTATAGGAGCAAAGGCCTGGAAGGGGCCTCCCACACCTTTTGAGTTCAGTGTTCTGCTCTCTAAAAGATTCTTTTGGTCCCCAAGATTATGTGCTCTGGCCCATCTTGTACATCAAGATGCAAGACACACTCTTGCACATCTTGCATAAGTCGCAGAACCCCGTATGCACCTTTCAGTGTTCCATAGGTAACGAGTAGGGAGACAAAGGCTCTACCAGTGTTATGCCACTGCAGAGGCAAGAAATCAGAGGATTCTAGGAACAGGAAGCACTCATGCTACGAAAGAAGGCAAATAAAAACAAACAAACCCCACAACAGTCTTGAGCTGGAGAAAAATTCCTTCCTGGCTTCAGGTCTGGAGTTCTATTTGACACTGTTCATCAGAGTCAGACCAGTCAACCCAAGAACCTGAAAAGTCTCTAAGTGTCATTGAGAGCACCAGCATATGCCAGCTCTCGCTTATAACTGTAGCTATGTGAAAGGAACTGGAGACTTATGAGGAATAGAAGGGCAATGCTTGAAGGAATCCCCATGCTTTATTTGGGAAGTTAAAACCTCATTGAAGTGAATACTGTGAAGAGAAAAGAATTCATATGAACTGCAAATAAGTGACTACAGATGTATCGGACAAGCTACATCCTAGGAGACCCAAGCCAAGAAATTACTGTATTTACTTGAATCCAAGATGACCTGCCCAGTAATGAGATTCTATACATAGAAAATGTATAAATTGGTTAGAATTTTCTCTATGTAGAATCTCTAATTATTGGAGGGTCATCTTTCATTCATCCTCTCTGCCGCTGCAGGGGGACAGGTGGTTTGAGGAGATCAAGTAGCTTGTCCCCTGCTTGTGCTTGCCCTTCTAACTTGTGCCCCCCCCCCAGTACAGTCTTGGGACACCCCCCTCTGTCTCTGCTCCATCTGCAGCTTCTGCTTCTTGCTCCCCTGTCCTTCCCACCCCATCCCCCTACCCTTGCTCTGCACCTGCAGGCTCCACACATTCCTGTTGTAGTCTGGGGCACTGAGCTGCATGTGCTGTGCGCTGCTGCGACAGGACCAAGCTGGGTCATGTTCAGTGCCCTAAGCTGCAGCATAGACAGAACCTGCCAGTGCAGAGTAAGGGCAAGATGAGGAAGGAGAGGAAAAGGCAGGAGAATAAAGGCTGCACGGGTGGGGGAGATGAAGAGAAGAGGCTGCAGAGGCAGGGGAGATGGCAGGGTGCAGAAATGATTGTAGGGGTACAGGCAACAGCTGCAGCTACAGCCCCAACCCTGGGTACAGCCTGGAATCCAGCCCACATCAGCTGCCTGCCCCCTACCCCACCCCACTGCCCTTGTATGCAGTTCTAAGATGAAGGGCTTTTCCCCCTATGTTAAATGAAGGGGGAAAATCCTATCTTAGAACTGAGTAAATATTTTAGTGGCTTATGTCACAGCTCTGCGCCAAGCACAGCACTGTTTGCTTTTTGTTTGTTTCTATACATGAGCAATCTCAGAGCAGTGGCATGCAGAGTGCAGGGCACACCATAAGTAACAATGTGGAGACAGCAGTGAGAATTGCTGCAACAGAAAGGGGTTGTTCCTACACTGGGAAAAAACTGACTGGGCCTAGAATGATTCAGAACTTTTCCCCTAGGAAAAAACGTGCTGTATTGCAGTAATATTTTAGCACAATTGTTTCATGTTTTGAACAACTTTTTCATGGATGGATGGTACATTTCAGCTGAGAGAAGGGTTTAGCATAGTTAATTAGTTCTGGAGGCGAGTTAGGGTTGTAGCCAAGATGTGATGCAGACAAGAAACTTCAGCATTTCAGTAGTTGCCCCCTTCTGCCAGTCCCCATTTCATCCCATAAGTACAGTGTTGCATTCTGTAGATGGATATGCCTACTATTCTAGCCAGCCTTCGGATGACTAATCCAGGAGACTTTAACCGTTTACTAGTTTTGTTTAGTTTGGAAGAAGGGATTAAGGCTAGTCTGTGATTAGCTAATGAATGGAACATAGGTAGTTCTGACATGTCTTAACTAGCACCAGTCTAACTGAGTCTTATTTCCTAATCTTAAACAGATTCAGTGCCCTTTTCCTGCAAGTTTGCTGAAGGCACTGAGCCTTGTGAAAGAAACACGGAGGGCGATTGGCTTTGGATTTCTGAATGGAGCCAGTCTTAATTGCAATGGACTCCCCTCAATCTTTCCTTTCACTGCCGGCTTGCAGGAATCAGGCCAAAATCCAAGAAGTGGCGCTTACAAGCGTACCAGTGGGAAAGAGTAGGGGTGGGAAGCAGGAGTTTCTTCACCATTCAGAGTGGTCAATTTTTAATGCTTCTATAGAAATCAATAAAAAGACCTACACAATTGTGAGGAAGCACCTTCTGACATTTGGGTGGAATGGCAAATTAAATTCTTGCCATCCTGCAGCTTAGAATGTTGAGGCAAGCATGTGCATCTATAATCTTGTAGAAGGCTGGGCCCCTCAAATGATTTCTTAAAATTTATCATTTTTCTTGTTGAATATGGAAGTGAGGTTAATGACAGAACTGCAAAATAGTTAAGATGCTACTAAAATAGCTATTATTATTTTTACAAGGACAAGGGAGGGATGTATGGGTGTCTGGTGCCTCGAGTGGGGGGGGGGTATGTGCCTCCCCTGACACCATTCAGCAACCAAGGGGGGTACCCCAGCAGCCAATCCCACTGACTAGGAGGAAGTCCCCCCAGTGGCGGATCCAAATGACCAGGGGTAGGGGGACATCCCCCAGCGGCTGATCCCACTGACCGAGGGGACCCGTGGCCGATCTCACTCACTATAAAAGCAGCTGCACCGCTTCTGGAACTCTCACAGCCACTTCTGGTGGCCAGTGCTCGCAAGGGGGCACTGGTGGTGCTCCTGCATGCTGCCCTGCCCGCTGGCTAAACAGGGAGCATGGCCTGACAGGGGGTGCACCAGCACTCTCAGGGGGTGCATGTGCACACCCGTGCATCCCCTATGCGTTGCCCCTGGAGGGATGCAAAGTTAATAGACATGGAGGTTGCATTATTATTTATGCAGGCTGTTTTGAAAGGTTTATGTGGCTGTCTAATCTATAATACATAAATATTTACTTTTCTGCCCAACAGATTTTATAACATCTTTGCTTCCTGATATGCCAAAAAACATTTGGATTGGTTTGCAGATTTTGTACAGCACAAAGGAAAATAAATGGGTAGATGGTAGTAAATTGGTATATAGCAACTTTCATCCATTGCTAAAAGGAAAGCAAAGGAGGATTCCAATTGATGTAAGTTGTGCTTTTTTTTGGACGTGCAAATCCTGCTAATATTTTGTCCTATTGCATCAAAACAGGATATTATTGAAAAACCCAAACCAAAAAAGTGTGTATTAAGTGACAAACAAGAGGATCAGCAATGACTCTGGTTTTGGCATTTCTTTGGACATTATCTTGTGAACAATAATAATTTTAAGATTGAAGATTTAAAGAGGAGATTTATTTTGTTACATCACTTTCAATGTGTAGTGGGAAGGCCACATTCCATAACAACACAGACAGCAAAGGGAAGTCTTATACAGAATACAGGAGTTAACTAACCATTAGACAGCATATTGTGGGCTGCATTATCCACAAAACAGTAAAGAAATGGAGTAGAACCCAGCTGATTTAACACCAGTTTTTAAATTGATGTTAAATTTTAAAATTTTAACATAATTTCATGTGTTTCTATATGTTTTACTTAAAAATTACTGCTGAAGAAGCAATCTAACAATGTGGTAACATTTGTAAAATAATTTATATATTCTACTACTGCTTTTTTAATACCTCTTAAATGGTCACGTACTTAGTAATAGACCTTCTTTTATGTTCTCCACAAAATATATGCTCATATCGTATGTA